TTTTAAAAGTGCGTTTTGCATTTTAACCTCATGGAGAACAGCTCTCATTATTATTACAGCAAAAACTAGACAAAACCCTCCTAATGTTAAGAAACTTTGATACTGTAAATGTGCTGGGGTTTTTTTGCTACAAGTAATGTGTGATCTTACATTGTGAGAAGCAAACTTCTTCATGTCTGAATTGGCTAGTTACTTGTTCTGGTAAGTCTAAAAAGGGGTCAGCAGTGTTAGGATTTTATTCTGCCACATTGTATGTAGTATCTGAGTACCTTCCACCTACCTCAGAGAAGAACTGAGATTAAACTTCTCAGGATAACAGTGTGGGGGAGGGATAAGAAGGGACAGCATGCTGCTTGTGGTAGGATTTTTGGCTTGGGTATTTTGTGCATTATTTAGGTATGACGTTTGTACCTGAAGTTTTTCTGACGCTTGTGATGTGTGGGTGTGTACAGCAGGTAAGAGGGCAGTGGCTTTCTGGTGATGGAAATGTGCTATTGTCTATGTGCTGTTAATGTACTACATGGCTCAGAAAGCATTTGTGTTTGTGTGTGCATATATGAAAATATTTGATAAAACTTCTAAAAAGTGCTGAGATACAGGAATCATAAAAACGGTGATTCTGCTGTTTCTGAATACACAGATGGTTGATGTTGTTTTCTGGGATGTTTTATGAATCTGTTTAGTGTTGTTTTAAGTGTGGGGTATTGCAGTGTTATATAAGCATTGGATTGGGATTGTATCCATTTTGAGCTGCGTGGTGACTTTGTTTAGATTTAGTAGTTAATATTATATTTCTTCATGGAATTGCAATAAAATGGAGCTTCAGCAGTGATGCTAATTTATTAGTGTTGCTGCAGTACTCTCTGTGTATATGTGAGCACAGTTCTTTTGTGAATTTTACAGAAGGCAATGTTACAATAGTTGACTGATATCACATTTGATTGGGGAATTGTTTGGATGTCTTCAATGATAGTCACTTCCAGGTTAAGTTTCAGAGTTTTTTAAACATGCTCTCGAAATGTTTGTTTCTTTCATTAATGTCATTGTTTGCTGTTATATTTCCTTGCTGGTTAGCAGGAGAAAGCTTTCAGCCATGCAAGATTAATCAGTGTTACTTTTTCCCTTTCTATCGTCTTTGACCGGATCTTCCCCATCTTGGTCATTTACTAAGTTTTTTTAGTGCTCATACAGTACCAGAGCAAAAAGCCAGAAGTCATCCTGTCTTGTCAGTTCAGGAGAAGATATATATATGGATGGAGTGAGTAAATTTGTGATCAAACTGTCTCTGGGTTGACTTGTTTTAAATAAATATAGAAACAATTTGGTGCCTAATCTCTACCTGCCTGTAATGTAGGGAATGAGAGATGAGAAACTGTCACATGTAAACGAATTTTGACAACTGTAGTTTAAGCAATACAAAACTTCAAGTTAGTTTTAAAACAGTACAGAATGACTACTTGACTCAAAGTGAGTTGAGTTCTAAGTGTGTATGAATGAGTTTAAAGCACAAGAGTTCATATACTTGTAGATGTTTCCTACTTCATACCTTTTTTCTGAGGTAGGTTTTTATCTAGCAGCTGAGGGATGATCTCTTCTCATGACTGTGTTTAAGCTTTCGAAAAATTTGTATCTCCCTGCAAGAAAAAAGCTGACTCAATTTAAAGTAATGAATTTTCAACTTTTCTTTTTAATTACTGTAAAAACACTAAAAAAAATGTCCTGTGGGTGATACAGATGACTGAAAAATTAATGTAAATCTATGAACAATGGACTAATCCTCTTAGTTACTTTTGCAGACCCATAGGAAGTAATGACTGCAGTGTTAAAAACTGCTCATCTACTGCTGTATCTGTACTGAAGTTGGAGACCTCTGGACGGGGTAATAACACTGGTCAGCAAAGATAATGATAGAAGTCTAACTGTTTGGTAGTGCTAAGCACAAACTGTTTCACCTTGAGAAGAATGGTTGCCTAACAATGACTGTCACAGTCCTGCCCCTGAAATCCTACTGAAATGGTAAACTTTGATTTTAAAATGTACTTGTTATTTTCATGACCTCAGTCAAGGAATCTCATGATGGGGAAAGAAGCAGAGAGAGTAATTTGAAGTACAAGCAGATGCTACTCTAGTTTCTCAAGGAAGTTTCTTACGTAAAAAGGCAGGGTTAAAGAAATGGAGCTTTTTGTACTAAAAACAATGCAATGCTTTAGCCTTTGTCTCCAGCCTTTCCTTTGTATGACCTGTCATCTTGAGGATGAAGTGCCTTCAACAGTAAAAGACTGAAGTGGGCTGATAGAGGAGGATATTTCAGAATGCTTAAAAATTGTTTGCAAAATAAATAATAGCAATTTAATTAAGAAGGTAAGAGAAAGTGTTTTATTTTGTTACTAAATCAGGATAGACTGAAGTAAAAGATATGCCTTTGTTGTTAAAGATGTGCCTTAAGTGATTTGTTAGTTAACCTCATAAATTAGTTATTGACTACTAAAGTCCTCTTTGTTTAAAAAAAAAAAAAAGGTGCTTCTGGTGTTTTTGAGGTTGCTGGAATAAATTATCCTTGTCTGTCATGTCAAGAGTGTCAGAGATTGCTCTTCTGTATCTAATGAAATACTCTCTCTGGTGCACGTGTACTTGAACTGAAGAAGCAGAGAGAAGGAAGGAGGCTGTACAGTACACTGTAGCAGCAGCATACCTGTCCAGGATTTGTGAGAACTGAGGAGTGCCTTTTCAAAACTGAATATCAACTTGAAAAGCGAGGGGAAAACAGTGCTCATTGTTTTTGAATCTGTCTTCTAAAAAGCAGGTAGGAAACAGCTTCTCTGAAATACATGGACTAACCCTGGGATTGGAGGTGGGCTTGTGAACTCATTTATCTCAGGTGTGGTGGACTCGCAGAGCTGTGAGTGATACTGTAGAAGTGTTGGGTTTGATTTGAAGAGAAGCCTAGGCATTTATGTAACAATAATTATACTGGAAAAGCTTTGGGAATGTCCTTGCTGTTTCTCTTAGGTTGTTTACTCTTAAGAAAGAGCTCTTACCTGTATTTTCACCTTGTCTGCTGTTGGTCCACACACCACCCTCAGCACAATATCCTGTGCAGGTTTTGTGGCTTCTTGGTTTTAATACTCACTAAATCTGTTCAGCTGAGTATAGAAATTACATTCCCAGTATATATTCTGATATAGTACTGGCTTTAAGCTATATGTTTCCTTAGTAAGGAAGCAGCTGTATGTCACTCCAGTACTAATAGTTTCCCCAGAAGGAATAATTAAGTTCTCCTGGGAGTGAAATTAGTGTCTCAGTGTGTGAATGAAAAGGGTTCAAGCTGCCAAACTACAGGTGCAGAAATGGCATTGATACTAAGATGGATAGGATCTGGTGTGTTGCTGCTTGTACACTGGCTGGCCTAGCCTGCATGCTGAGATTTGGGCTGCCGTCGTTTCCTTGTGGCTATTTCGATGTTGCTGCAGCACCAGAAGATACTGCTGCAATGAGGCTTTGCATCCGCTCGGTCGGAGCTGACTGCTCCGTTGGAGTAGCTGTACAGAGGGATGTATGTCTGCATCAGTGACCTTCAGCTTACAGCCTGAGGAGTTAATGTAACTGCAGTCACCAAAGGTAGGCTGTGAACTGGGAAGGCTGAAGACAAAGGCATGAGTCCTGCCTGCCCACTCTTGGAAGTGAAGGCCATCAGGCTCTGCAGAGAGGCTGGGAGAGTGGGATTGTTTTTCCAGCTCAGTCTGGATTTGTCTGCAGACTGAGTATAGGACATACTTTGAAACAGTGTCAAAAAGTGAACAAGCCACGGTGAATTTCAGAGTCATTGAATGTTTTCTTAAAGTTGCTGATTTTCATAATGTGATCTTCCAAATGTGAGTTAGATATGCTACAGGTTCCTATATTGAGCAGACGAGAGAAAATACATGGAAGAAATGGTAAAAGTAAAATTGATTGGCCACCTTACCTCTGTCAGTATAATGTAGAGGACATCAGGTAGGATTTTCAAAACTTGACTTAAACTGATTTACTGTTTTGTTTTTGTCCTGTGTCCGTTCTGTACCCACCAATACAAAGTACTGCAAATCTTGCCATGCAAAAACACTGAAACCTGAAAGAGAGAGCAAGACAAGTGTCTTAACAATGCAGGGTATTCCTGCTTATCTTCATGGTCTCACTTAGGAAAGCCCTAAATGCATAGGGATTGTCTGCTTTTGGCTGAGAAATATAGATCAGATCCTGGCTGTGTGAGTTTTAGGAAGATCCATTGACATGCTGTTTCCTGTTATGGGTTTTAATTATTCTTTTGAAACACTGGCCGATGGCTCTAGTGATAGTCTGTCCACCTTGCCTTGTAATTTTTTGGCTTTACTTTGTTTTCCAAGCTCACATTTATTTAGAATGTTATATATTGCTGTTTTCTGTGGGGTTTGTAAGGCTATCCTAATGATACAAACAAACCCTGCTCCTGAGGAACGTGGGGACAGCATGGCAAGCAGCAGGTGCAGTCTGACTCCTGCAGAGGCCAGGAGGGCAGGTGGGGGTGTCCCGCCCAGCAGGAGCCAGATCAGCCCTCCTGGCGGGGAGCAATACTGTGGGGAGCAAGCTCCCGTGGCCTGCTTTCCCCTGGGAACTGGGGCCTTGGTGGGGCTAGCATATGTTTTTGGGAGAGAAGGTTCTTAGAGGGTGGGAGGTGCTGTTGTCGAGTTAAAGCCCTCCTTGGTGTCAGTTTGAATTTTGGCATGAAAAGCCTCTCAGTTCTTTAAGCTGTTTCCCTAAAGAATCCTCCCTCTTTTTTTTTTTATTTTCTTATTTTCATTTTTAAACTTCATCAAAGGAAGTGAGTTACACACTAAACATGGCAGTCCGGTCCTTTAGAAGATACCATTTTTTTTTACCACGCAATAGGAGGTTCCCCCAGTTGCAAGAGCAGGAGTAGGACGTGCCCTTTCAAACCGGCTCACGCATGAAAGCGGGCTCAGCGTGGCACCCACGGCAGCCCTTGCCCAGGCCAGGGTGAGCAGGGAAGGGTTCGGGGGCGCTCTGGGGCCGGGGGCTGGTGGTGCCGGCAGGGAAGGCAGCGCGGGTGGGGGCCGGGTACCTGTGCAGGGAGTGCCGAGCGCTGACACGCCAGCGCTGACATGGGCCTGTGCGGTGCCCGTGTGTGGGGAGGGGGTGTTGCTGGCCTCTGTGTCAGCCGTAACGCTGGTATTTCAGTAATGCGCTGGTGTTCGGTCGTACTGCCAAAACCAAGCTATAAGCAGCGAGTCTTTGCTCCACTTTTCCTCGCTCCATGCCTCTGCTCCGCCCCGTCCGTGCTCCCCGCGCTGCTGAGATCAGCTTCCTGCTTTTCCTTTTCCTCGCAACAACGCTGCTACTCCTCCCCTGAAAGAGTTATTTTCATCGGTCTGGAGTTAATTTTTATGGGTGGCTGCGGGCTCTGTTTCTGACAGGCAAACACGCCAGGCTGGAAAAGCGGTATCGTGGTGATTTTGTTTTGTTGCAGCGAAGCCGGGCTGTAGGCAGGATGGTAGACTGCTGCACCGAAAACATTTCTGTGCCAGCTCCGTGACTGGGGAAGGCTAAAGAGGTGAGTGCTGGTTTTACGTCCTGTAGGTTCAGGGAGTGGATGAAGGAGGAACCAAGTGTCACAACCTACCCAGGCTCAACAGCAAGAAACGAGCAATTATATTGTTATGATCTCTGATTAGATGGTTTTGCTTCTACTAATATTGTAATGGAGTATACTCAGGAAATGATGTTTTTTGCTGTAGCAAAGATGTGTAGTCAATGAAAGTTTATACTTTGTAAATTTTCTCATTGAAAAGTGTAGATAAATATGACACAAATATAGCCATAAAAGACAGATGATAAAGTTCACTCCACATAACTTAAAATAGAAAAAATGCTCAGGTTGTTTCAAAACTTTTAGATGCATTGAGTAATGCCAGAGAAGAGACTGTACAGTGGTTTAGTAATAAATGTGGATCTAGAACAATGTGATGTATTTGAAGGAGTGTCATGATGTTATAATACGAGGAAATAAAATTATGGAAACAAAATACAAAAAGGAAAAAGATTCTTTTTACAGTTGCTTCCCTTAGAAAGGAAGTCAAGTTGGTTGAGAGAAAATGGAGTGTTTGGAAGAGTATCTGAGTTACAATGAGCGGGCAACTTCTATGGAAAGGCATCTTCTTACATTGTTGCAATTTTTGATTTGTTTTTCTTTATGGACTGAAGAATGTCAATGTCACGGATTCATTAGTTAACTTTCAGCTTTTTAAGGTGAGCACCATTCTCTGTATTCCTTCTAATGGAGCTCTGAAATTATTAATCCATAACTGGTGGCAGGTTTACACAAATACTTTAGGGTATTTTGCTTTTCTGCCTCTTCATTACTTCCTGTTAACAGATTAATGGGATGACTTTGTTCGTTCTGCCCATGATGCTCTGAGTGATTTTGCAGAGGACTCTTCATGAGAAGCCACTCCAAACACGTAGCTGTGGCGGGCCAGCCATGGTGGGCCAGGTGTTGGATGCTGCCGTCACAGCTACAGGGCACCGATGCAGGTCTGAGCAGCTCCCCAGGTGACAGGGGGCAACAGGAAGAAATCAAATATCTTGATGAGGATCATGGGGGATTTAATGCGTCCCAGGCTCTGAGGCCTGAGCAGAATTGCTTGTGCTCTTGATCCAGACCAGAGTGTGTGCTTTGAGTAGCTGTTTTCTGTGCTGCCAAATTTAATCTATTCGTTCTGCTATAAAATGAAAGAAATATAGGCTTTGATAAGTTCTTAGGTGAAGTTCTCCAGTAGCTTTGCTGAAAGCAGTTCTGGGGAAACAGAGGTTTCGAAGTTTGATACATTTTGATGGAAAATGGGAGAGGTACAGTAAATTAGAAATTTTTTCAACTTCAGTTCACTACATGTGTAATGTTGACCCCATCTTCAACACAGATAGAAGATACACATATTATTTGAAATACAGCTCCCTGACAAAAAAGTGGAATAAAACTTATTTGACAGAGGTAATAGTGAAGCACCGTGTTTAAATGGCAGCACTGTCACTGAAAGAAACAGTCCAAGCCTTAGACCCTTGCATCCTACCTTATGGGGCCGTGCTAGTGTTTTTGTAGTTGTATAATGAACTGGACTGGAGGACTGATCATTGCTAAAATTAGTGGGTTTTTTATTAGCTTAACTCTGCCCAATAAAGATAGAACTCACCAATGTTGAGTGGATCATATATCATGTTAGGAGTCAGACTGGAGAACTGAACAGCTCTATTGCCCCCAGGAATGGGTAGTAGAAACAGGACAGGGGACGCAACTGCTTTTGGCTTCCGAGCTGCCTTATGCTTACTGCTTGTCAAGGAAGAGCCTTAAGGGCAGGCTAAGTGAAGTACGAGAGGAGGAGGATGTATCTTCAGAAGTAGACCACTACTGTCTGTTTTTTCTACTAGGGACCTGTATGTCTCTTTTAAACATGGCTTTGCAGTCTGGATAGTTTCCAGAGCAGATAGCATCAGTTAGTTACTGATGCTGAAGATAACGTGTCTTAATTGTGATGTTGCTTTTCTCTTTCACCTGTGTTCCTTTCTGAAGTAGGTGATACCTTGCATTGCTTGCTTTTGTGGGACCCAGCACAGCATGCTACATGCCAGGCTGTTACTAAAAGTTGCATGGGACTTTCAGTGAGTGTGTTGGTCGTTGATTTTTAGCAAGATAGCTCTGTCTAGATGCAGAATACCAGTTTACTACAGATTCATTGTGCTGGTTAAATTTATAAGTCTGGAGGTGGTGCTGTAAATTATGATCAGTTACTCTTGAGATTTTCACTAGTAGTGGACTACCTGAAAAAGAGAAGACTGCTTCGCCTCCAGTGGCCTATAAGAAGAATATGTATCCCTGGACAGTATAATAATATTTTTTTATTTTTTAGATATCAGGTTGATTGTAGTTGCTTGTGTTTGCAGAGTTCAGGAAGTTTTTGTTAGCAGTTTTCAAGCTTTTGTTATGTGTCAGATGCTGGCAAAAACACCAACAAGTATTTCTCCATGAATTCACTGGGGTTGTGTTTTGGCTAGGGTGGTCAAATGTTATATCCCAAGTTAAAGATCCTATTTTGAGATTTGCTAATGTAGACCTGTGCATTTGGTTAGGGCCTTGTTACCTTCTGTAAGACTCCTTGCAAGTACAGAAATCCATGGTAGTGGATTTTGACAAGGGATTAAAGGATCAGTATTTACTTTGCTTGGAAGTTGCTCAGATAGTAAAGAGTTGAAAATACCATCTCTGCTTCTTCCCTTGCCCTGTGAAAGTAAATTGAAAACCCATAGCAATATGTGGCAGATTGAGTCCTCAGATCTTCAAGTAATATTTTAGAGTACCTTAAGCTACAAAATTATACTGATCAATGAAAACTTTATACCTAGAAACTCTCCTTTTGGAGGGAAAAATAAGACTCTCTCTTTTTGCTGTAAATGGAGAAGGTACTTATTAAGAGTAAACCACAAGAATAATGCTTTCTTTGTTAGGCAAATTATGGCAAAATACAAGGGACCTAATACCTCAAGGAAATTGCTGCAGTTGGGCCATGACCATGGTTCTGTAAGTACACAGCTTCAGCTGGTGAGGACACCGAGGTGCTGCCCCTCTCGCAGCGCCTTCTTACAGTGATGTATCCATCCTCCTCATGGACATGGTGTAACGGCAGCAGCATTCTCCATGGGCTTCTGCATGGATGAGACTGGGAGAGCTGCACTGGGAAGCGCGGTCACAGGTGTGGAGGGACAGGGCAGGTAGCTGGAGTGGTCTGCGGCTGCCTCGGGACTCATTCTTCCCTGATGGCCAACTATCCTGAATTGAAACCCTGGCAGCATCTGAGATTTTTTCAGATGTGGTGAAATTTGAGTATGGAAGGGCATGCTTTTTGTAACGAGAGCTAATGCTTTACAGGGTACTTCTTATTTCAAAAGCAGCCCCAAAAAGGTGCTACCAGAAAAACTTGTGCATCTCAACTGAAGATGAGCAGGATCCACTGCAGGGGAAAGCTACTCAAAATGGATCCCTCACCTTTTATCTGTTAGATCACTATTGTACAGTAAAGTGCCTTTTATGATATCAGGAGGTTAAAATATTTTCAAATTAAAGGGATACCTATATGCAGGTGTTCAAACAAAATGTTTGTTTCCCAAACTAATTCCAAAGCAAAATGTTCTGTAGGAGAAATGAAAATAATTTGAGTTTTCTTGCCCAGCTAGGTACGAGAATGTATGTGGGCTTTTTTAAGTTTAAAATCATAGTAATATAGCTATAGATGTTCCCATACTTGGCTAAATTACTTTCTTTGGTAGCTGATGCTGCCCCTTGAAGCTTGTTAGTGTGTGGAATAACTCAGAAGTAGCAATCAGGTGTGTAAACACCTGGAAGTTTCTTGGGTAAAAATGCAAGCAAATTCCATGTGAGACTACGTGCATTGACAAAAATCTCAGTAAGCAGCATTTTAGTGGAACTCACTTAAGAAGCAGGTTCTTTCTAGTCAGGACCAATAAAGTTACTAGGTTTCAGCTCTTTCCTTCTCCCTTCACGACTTCAATAGGGCAGGCAGCTAGCCAGGCCCATTTGAAAAAAAACAAAACTGTGATATATTCTAACAACACAAGTGAGGCCTTCCCGTCTGTGGCAGTGTTCATGGTTTATTCAAAGTGCTCACAGGAATAGGACTGTGGTAGAGGTTTTCCAGATTAGATGCTGGGCTTTCACTGAATGTCTGACTTTGAGTCTCTTCTCTGTGAATTCTGAATTTGCACCTGGAAATATCTGCTGCAGGTACTGACATCTGCTTTCTGATGGACCTCTAGTGAGACAAGGAATCCAAATCAATGTGTTGATGAAGTGGTGGTTATGCAGAGGAAGAAGAGGTACTTTGCAGATGAGCTTTCCTAATAAAATGAATATATTCTAAATATTGTCATCAATTTACGCTGTTGCTTCTGACTAAATTTCCTGCAGTATGAGTTGACAGATGTACATAAAAGCAGATCAATCCTTTGCTCCTGACAGTTCTGAGAGGTATATCAGCTTGTCCTGCAAGTCCTTGAAGAAAGGCATCTTCAGTTGACTGATATTGTTTAGCACATTTCTGCTGAGAAATTAAGGTGCAAATAGAGGCTGTTGAGATGCTTAGGCTTCAGTCAGTACTGTGTTTGTTTTAAGATGGTCAGCCTCCTTGATTTATACCTGGAAATAATTCTCAAACGTTGTGCCATCTCTGGAAGATGAACATAATATTCTCCCTTAGTGAAATATCTCAGGGAGGCAGAGGCAGCTACCCAACGAACCAAAGTTCCCAGGTGGTGTGTGGTAAGACCTCTAGGAAAGGCAAATTATGGCTATCTGTTGGGGTGATAAAAGCCTGGGCAATATAATAAACCAGTTATGAAAAGGAAATGTGCCAGCCCAGGTATTTGCAGCACTAACGAAGTACATGCTTTGTACAAAGTACCATGCTTTGGCTGATCTGCATATTAAGAAGTGATAGAAGCTCCAGAAGGAGCTTCCCATTTTAATTTTACTGCATGGAGGGAAGTATTTAAAGTGTGGCTGTGGTATTTTGCAATTTCTAGTCTTTTTCAGTCTGCCACTGATTTATTTTTTTATTGTGTGGCTACTTCGCAAACCAGCCTACTGTGTGGTGTTTGCTTTTATCTTGCATGTGCCTGAAGAAAAGTATATATTGATAGATATACACACATAAATGCATACATCTGTGTATATATGAATATGTATGTCATATAAAAAGTGTGTGCGCCTTTCTCGTAATAACAGGACAAAATGGGCTTCAGTGGCTATTCCTAATCCTCGTTCACTGAAAATGTGTAAGACAGGACAGTGTGACTTGGCCTAACACAATATACATGAGTAGACCTCTACAACTGTCTACCACTCATTTCATCAATGAAATTTTTTGGCATGCTATTTTAGACCAGTAGTGAACCCACTGTTTCACTGCTCTTACCAAAAAATATTTTCTGTGTAAAATACATAAATAAAATAAAGAACTAAAATTAGAGTGAGTCAAATTTGTGTGAAAGTCTTAAGAGTGGCCTTACCTTTTGTGTGATGTTGGACAGTTAAGGCTGCAAAATATTTTGCAATACTATTTTTATTGACAATGCAATTAGACCCTGAGATTGGCTCAGTTGGTTAGAGCATGGTGCTAATAACATCAAGGTTGTGGGTTTGATCCCTGTATG